AAAACTCGGAACTATTCAGCGATTTTGTTTAACCATAGAAGCTTCCATCGAGAATTGCTGCACCTTTTCTTGACATGTCTTACCACGTGAGAGATGGGCTCTGGCGGAGACGCAGACGACGAAGCGTACACGCCCCCTTCCCACTGGGCGCGAACTCTGCAGCCAGACCGTATGCTCGTCTGGACTCTCCCCGCGAGAGATATCCTGGTTGACAGAAGTTTGTAACCATGTTAGGTTTCCATGAGGAACGGCCTGTGGTTTTGGCATCACGTGTGCCTTAAATTCGAGGTCAGTTTGTGTTTCGTACCTTTTTATCAGTTTGTGAATACTTCGGAATGATGTAGTTAAGATTCAGAAATATGTAGGTGTTTGGAAGAGATTATTCACTAAACGCTTGAAGAACCATTTTATTGCTTTTAAATGGTTACGCGTGCGCGCGAATACCGTCATTCAAATCCTTGAGTTGCTCTCTGTGGCGACTTGGGCGCTTTCTTGCTTCATCTTTATATAGTTATTCGTTTGACATCATCAGGGTGAGTTACTCCGTAAAGAAAGCGATTCCGCGCAGTGTGGCTCTTACGGACTATTTGAACCCGGTACTTTAAAACGCCTCAATTTGATGCACGCGCCCGCGCTCTCTCGCCTAAACAGCGGCTCGTGACTGCTTTGAGGTCACACTATTCAAACTTTTGCCACATTGTATTGGGTTGTCCCATACGTCCTGGCCGGTTTTTGTTCCAGTTCAATTTTTCCAAATCAATCTAGCCTCATCATCAAATAATTTGAAATTCTGAAGAACATCAGCCGTCAGGATGTTCAGGCACTCGAATGCGCAGAGAGATAATTAGGGAGGATTGAAATATGTCAGCTTCCAAACTCAACAATTATGCCTTACGACTTAGCGCCATGTTTGCCCCAGTCTTTGCTACTGATCGGGCACTGAGCTATTGGCTCAATAGCATTGGCAAAGACGATAGGAGCTGCAAAGTTCGACCTCATCATGGACCTCCAATCACTTTCGATGCACCCTTGCGCTATGAATCGGAGTTGCATCCGAGCACTTTTACCAGAAATTGTAGCAAAGATCCGAACGCTCCGTGAAGGAAGATTTCTGGCGCAAGCTCATTAGCCCCATAGGCCTAAAACTACCCTGCCCGGTTCGTATCACCCGAAAGGACGATTGACCCTGTGCCCCATCCTTTGGAAGTAGCTTTATCCCCTGCGCTCCATTGAACTAGTGCTGTCTTTGCTCCGCGTCAGTTTATTTTCAAATACCACTGTTTGGCTGAAAACAAGGAAAGTCTTCTTGACACAGCTACCATGGTGTATGGTAAAGCAGTATTGAGATGACC